TCGAAATTTAAAACAAATAAATTGCGTTGAATTATGTTGTGATTTCTCAAAAATTAGCTGGACTAAGTCAGCGAAGGTAAGACTAATAATTCATTTGAAGAGTTTTTCTCAAGTTTCAATTCTCTTTTAAATAAACATGCACCATTGAAAAAAGTCAGCAATCGCTGCTTATCAAAAGGTCTCAAACCTTGGATAACACAAGGAATCTTGAACTCTATTAAAATGCGAAATAAAATATTTAACAAATTTCTTAAAGCAAAGAATCCTAATAACAAACTCAATCTAGAAAAATCTTATAAAACATATAGAAACTTACTTGTTACTCTCACCCGTTGTAGTAAAAAGAACGATTACTCTAAGTTCTTCTCTGACAATGCCAAAAATTTGAAATCTACATGGGATGGTATTAAGAACCTTTTAAACATTAGTTCAAGAGTTAACTTATCTCCTTCATGCTTATCTTCTACCAACTCCATGATATACAACCCCATTAAAATTTCAGAATCTTTTAATTCATTCTTTGTTTCAGTTCCAGAAGATTTACAGAATAAGATCCACTCATCCAATACTGACTTTAATAAATATCTTAAAAATCCTAATCTTAATTCAATATTCATAAAACCTACAGACAAAAACGAAGTATTATCAATTATTCATTCTCTTAATGACAGCAAGGCGTCGGGACCTAATAGCATTCCAATACCTATTTTTAAAGCTCTTGCAAATGATATCTCTCCTGTACTTTCTGAACTATTTAATCTGTCATTCACAACCGGTGTATTCCCTGATAATTTAAAAACTGCTTCTGTTATCCCAATTCATAAAAAAAGACTCAAAACTTGAATGTAATAACTACAGACCAATTTCATTATTATCAAATGTCAGCAAACTTTTAGAAAAACTTATGTATTCTTGTATTTACAACTTTTTCAATAATTCTGCTTGTTTACATATTTGACAATTTGGGTTTCGCTCAAATCACTCCACTTCTCACGCTCTTATTAGCATTACTGAAATGATTCGTGGTGCAATTGACAGTGGTTCTTTTGCTTGTGGCGTATTCATAGATCTTCAAAAAGCTTTTGATACGGTTGATCACAACATTCTAATAAAAAAGTTGAACTACTACGGAATACGTGGTATTGCTAATCATTGGTTTTCTTCATATATTACGGATCGCATTCAGTTTGTTTCAATTAATGGATTTGAATCCACACACAAAGTTATTAAATATGGCGTTCCACAAGGTTCCGTTCTTGGACCGTTGTTGTTTTTATTATATATAAATGATTTATCTTGTTCATTAAAAAATTCTATGATACATCATTATGCTGACGATACCAATCTTTTATATATCAACAAATCCCTCACGACTCTTTGTAAAAAAATTAATCAAGATCTTCATCGCTTATGTAACTGGTTAAATAGTAACCGTATTTCTTTGAATGTCAATAAAACTGAATGCATTATTTTTCAATCCCCTCAAAAAACTATTGATCATATTAAAATTAAAACTAACGGTAAAAAACTTTTTCTATCAAAATATATAAAGTATTTTGGAATATATCCTAAAACTCCATAATCTTGTAAAGTTTTATAATTGTCTTTTTGTGTTTGACTTTCTCCAAAATAAACTTTCTCCTAAATTTTTTTATTAAAACAAACGAAGTTCATAATCATCACACCAGGAATACAGAAAATAGTAAGCTATACTATTCTTTTTTTAACACAATCAAATATGGTAAGTTTTTCATAAAACAACAATGTATTTCTCAATGGAACCAGTGTATTCCTGCATTAATAAAAAAGTCTAAGAAAAAATATCCACTTGTTACAAATTTTTTACTGCTCAACAGAATTCAATTTAAAAATATATTGTTGGAGTGTATTTCTTTATTTCTCTCTGTACTGTAGTTGTCTTCAATATATAATCTCTTTAACGAACAAGTGGTTTGATTTTTATTTTATTTATTATTTACCTATCTTATATTTATTTATTATTGTGTTATTAATGTTACATTTTATGTTATTATTATATCTAATTATCATCTATGATTTGTACATACAATTTATATTGTATTATAATATTCTTAATATTTTTGGTACTTTATTATTATTGTTATTATTTTGTATTATTACTATTATTATTACATATATCATTATTATTTGTTAAACAATCTTTTCTTCTTTTCTCTTTTATTTATATATACAGATGTTGAGTTTTTCCTTTGTTTTTTGTTTTTTTTTGTTTTTTTTATTTATTTTTTCTGAAATTTTTATGCTTTTTAGGTGTCACTCCATTGACTAGTTTGTAGCTATATGAAAGGCACCTAATCAATTTATATTAATTTACGATGAAATTTGTAAATTTTATTGAAATGGTAGAATTAAACAAAACTGAATTAATTAATCTTGTTAAAAGTGTTAAAATTAAAATCAAAATTAATAATGAAGGGAAATATATTTCAAGAGTTATTAGTTATCATGGTGTGTTAACTGACTGCAATCTTTCATGAAACTTTCACATCGATGAACTAAGCAAAAAACTAATTCTCGAGCTAGCAGTATTCTTTCAATAATTTATCATTATGTTGATAAAGTTTCACTTAAGAATATTTACTATGCATTATTCTCATCTCATCCTAGCTATTGTTGTCAAGTTTATTATTATTAACACTATTGTAAAAATGATTTAAGGAAAATAATTAGCTTGTTGTTGTTGTTGTTGGTATTGTTTCTGATTACAATAAAAAATTTAAACAAATAATACAATTACAGTGCAACAACAATAGCCTGACTGCCATTTCAATGTTTTCTGCAAAATAATGTTCTATTGTTTGGAAGCATTTTTTATTGAAAAGTTAAGCAAAACTAATATTCAAGTGCAAACATTTTTCAGTCAAAATTAAATTCCATTCATGGACTTCAAGTTTATTATATCATTTAGTGCACAAAAACACAATTTTTATGACCAAAGTTTCAGAAAAGACAAAAGTATACAGCAGTAATAAAAATAAAGCTGAAGAAGCTTAACTTGTTTAAAGAAATTAACTTGTTTAACAGCTGTAGATCATATCCCTTTTGTAACTTTAGACAATAGTAAAGATATTATATCACCGGAAAGCTCATAGATTTAAAATTCCTGATTATTGACATGGCAACTATTATGAACTACATAAGCTTAATAAAATCAAGAAAGGTTTTGAGTTTCTCTTTGTGAGTGGTCTTCCGGTGGAAGCAGAAGTTATTTGTGTCCTGATGTACAGACAAATTTCATTATGATCTTTTCATAATTAAAATTAATGGTTCAATGCATTCAAAAAGACCAGTTAATATTATTATTGACAAGTTAAATGATTTTAACTTTAATATGATTAATTATATCTTTGGGTGTGTTGCTGATGGTGCAATAGTTATGAAAAAAATAGAAATGGATTTTACCCATCAACTTTGCCATTGTTTTGCAATTCATTTTGCAGTATGTCAGGTTAGGTTATCCTGCTACTGATAACATGTAACACAGTGCAATTTACTATATCCTGCTGCCTTACGGATAGGATACACTTTTTTAGGCGAAGGCTAGAAGAAGCCAACTCTGACTTTAAAGACGGTATCTCGATAATATTACTCATCTTGGGCAGATGTTAAATGCATCCAGCTACTGTCTTGTAGAAGGCTTTCTAGTTAAAGACTTAAGGGGTGAACAGATTCTATCTGCTGACTTGCTTTGCACCCCTTTTTAATTTATTGGCATAGATGTATTTTTAATACATTGTTTCATCGTCGATGAAACAATGTATTAAAAACCATTTGTCTCATCGTCGTAATGTTGGATCTTTTTCTTTTCTCTATAAATACTATAATGGGGGCTGTTCTAAAGAGCTAGCATCAAAAGGTGCACACGTTAATTTTATTTGTTCTTAAAGCAATTTTTTTGAATGAATTATTTTACTAAAAAATATTGAAATAAATAAGTAGTCAGTGTGGAATAGATAAGTGTATTGCCAGTTTGTTAAAGATCGTATTTTAATATAAATAAAAAATAAAGACCATATTTTATATATAAATAAAAGGTATAGAAAAGGTTGGTATGGAATAGACTTACAATGACTCATATTTTTACGGGTCTGTTCAGCTAGTTTTAAAAAACTGATTAATTTACCATCAATATTTTTTAATTGCTTTATTAATGTTGTAATAGATTTACAGTCAATTAACATTTCATTCTTCATTAAGTTTAGTTGAACTAAAAATGCTTCAAATAAGTATTTGTTTAACATTGAAAGTATTTTTGTAACATATTTAAAATATAGATTTATCTTCTTGTCTTGTCTTTTTTTCTTTTTGTTTAATTTTTTTTTGACAATTTTATGACATCTTGTCTTTTATTTTATTTTTGTTTTTTATTTGACATCTTTATTGAGAAAAGGTACATACACCAATTTATGTTTAATTTTTAGTTGTATTTTACTTTGATATATTTGTACAATAATACTTATTATTATTTTATGTTTCATATTAAATTGTTATATTTATATTATTTAATTTTATCATGTACACAATATATGGTATGTACATATTTACTATTGTTGTATATATAATATATGATATATGCATAAATATATATGTATATATAATATATGATATTTACATATATACTAATGTGTATATTTAATATATGATATACACACATATACCAATGTGTGTATATATAATATAGTAACTTTAATTGTTTGTATAATTTTTATCAAACTTTGCTTACCAAAAATGATCACTGTTGTCATAGGGACTGAAAAGGTCATAGGATCTTCTGGTTATTATTGGTTATAGCTATGAAGATTTTTAAGAGCTTGTTATTTCATTTGACATTTTTATGATCAAATTTTTAATTTGAATTTTTTCCTCTGTATTAAGTTTTCTGGACCAAATATATTTGTGTTTAAAAAAATATTTCTGTGTTTAGAAAAATGTTTCTGTGTTTAGAAATTTTTTTTATTTAGGTCAAGATATTTTTGATAACTTAGGAGTTAAAAGTTTGTAAGTAATTAAAATTTATTTTTATTTATGCTATTTATTTTTGTTTTCACATTTACTATTTTTTAATATTTTTTAATTTTATAATTATTTCCACAATTCTTTTATAGTAATCTGTATAACTAATAAAATCAAAAAAAAAAAAAGAAAAAAAAAGAAATAAGAAAAAAAAGTACAACAATAAATACATGTTCTTTAAAACAATTTTTTCTAATAAATCTTTTTTTTATGAGAACCTGTTTTTTATGAGAACCTGTTTTTTATGAGAACCTGTTTTTATGAGAAACTGTTTTTTATGAGAACCTGTTTTAATAAAAAACTGTTTTAACAAAGCATATTTTTGTTATTGTAATTATCATTATTATTTTTGATTTATAAAATTTACCTGAATCTAAATTTTAACATGGACCAAAAAATTAGGTTCAAACCCTATTATTAACTAAAGCACAAACTTTTATGATTTTAGTCTCATATAATTTCTAATTTGCATTAATAATCTTTATAATCTTCCTGTTAATAATCTTTATAATCTTCCTGCTAGTTTGCTATTGATGCAACTACTTTGTACTAGTTTTTAAAAAAATTTAATTTAATAATATTCAAATTAATTAGGTAATGTAAGCAAGTTGCAAATATGCTACAATGGGCATTTTTGACATGAATAAAAAGTCATACTTAAATGTGAGGCAAAAAGCTTGTAACAAATCTGCTACATGGGACTCTTAAGAGTTAAAAAAATTTTCTAATTACATATAAAATCAACAGGCATTTTTTTTTTTTTAATGTTAATTCACCTCCCAAGGCTAAGAAGTCTACTACAGATGAGGAGGCTACTTAATTGTGATTATAACCCTCACTCAACTCTATAACTCTAAAATGCAAATCTTGATGAACAAGGTCGCTACCTGGAGAAACTAGTTGGGCACGATACTTCCAGGGATTAGATTGAAATTGAACTTGGAACCTCTCTCTTATAAAGCAAACGCTCTACCACTACACCCATTACTGCATTTGATCTCAAATATGACACTTTTTCTGTGACAAATATTTAGTGAGACCAATATAAAAAAATTTATTTTTACCTTCACTGTTCTTTTTTAACTCAAATTAAAGGCATTAAATTAAAGTTTTTTCTTCTGCAAAAACTAATATGATTGCTGTTCAAACATCTCTTGTTCAAAATTCTTGAACAAAATGTGGTAATGTGTAGTGGCAGAGGGTTTGCCTCATAAGGGAGAAGTTCTAATTTCGATCCCCACCACGATCCTGGTAGTACCACGCTCAACTTGTTTCTTCGTGCAGCTGCTTTGTTTGTCAAGGTTCATGTTTTGGAGTTTTAGAGAGCTTCCTCGGCTGTAGTGACCTTCATGGCCTTAAGGAGTTGAACTGAAATTTAAAAAAAAGTCTTATCTTGTTTTCATGATTCATTTGTTTTTTTTTAAGTTTCTGCTAACTGCTTTCTTGATTGTCTAGTTTTCTTATTTCAGTTTAATTCATAGTCTAATCACAGATGATTAAATACGAAGGTGATTTTTTGCATATAGAGAGTAAAGATACAAATGATTGAATAAAGAGTTAGCAATTTCAAGAGAAAAAAGGTAGAGGTGGAGTTCATTGGAAATTATTTTAGTTAACATAAGAAGATGCCTAATGTGGTTTTTATTTAGGAATAAAGTTCCCACAGAGCATGACTTTAACCCTTTCAACAAAAACATTTGTTTTTGTTGAAAAGGGTTAAAGTCAAAAAACAAAACCTTTTCAAAAAATAAAAAAACCTTATGCATTATGCTTCTTTTATAGAAATAATAGATGTTTGCAAGTTTATTGTGTATTTATGGATACAATAAGAAACTTCTTGCTAACACAAATAGGGTCTATCTTAAAAGCATATCAAACTTATTTTAACAAATACTTAACTTACACCCTTTTAACAAACAGCAATTTATTTTTGGTAATTTTTTTCTTTGGCTTCTTTAAACAGCTCAGAATTTTATTGATAATAAAAATCAATTTTTTCATTAGTATAATTAAAAATAAATTTTGCACATTAAAATAATTATCTTTATCAGTCTCACTAAATATTCACTAGAATGCAGAAAACAATTTTTTTAAGTTGATTAAAAACCAGGACATGTTTGCATGAGAACATAAATGAAAGGCATTATTATTACTTTTATATGTATCTGGGAAAGTTTTTGAGATTATCAAATCATTTCTTTCCACTTTATTAAAGTCATCTTCGAAAACACTCTTCTTCCAATAACTTTATTTCAAATAACTTATAGGGTACCTCAAGGCTCTATTTTTGGTCCTGTTTTATTTCTTATCTACATTAATGATCTTCATCACTATCTTATATCTGAAATGGCTAATGACTCAACTTTATACTTCTGTTTTGACAAAATTCTCTTTTCAATCACTCAGAACAGACAGCCAATCTTAAATCTGATCTCATTTCTGTAACAGATTGGGGCTTGCAGTAGTTTGTAAAATTTAACTCCAACAAAACTCAGTTATTTACTGCAAATAACAAATATAAATAATATAATAAAATCACAATACTTTCAATATTTCTATGTGAATGAATGGCAACCCTCATACTGAGTCCTTTTTTTATGTCTTCTTGGATTATTGTTCACTAATCACCTCTCATGGAAACCATATATATGATTGATTGCTAAGTTAGTATCTGCTAAGATTGCTTTTCTTTATTGTTTTTCTTACTCTTGAATCCATTTTCTGTTCATACAAATCACTTATTGGCCCTTGTATGGACTAATGTTGTCATATTTAGGCTGGTTTTTCTAATAATGGTTTTTCTCTTCTATGCAATATTTAAAAAACTCAGTTTTCCATGTCATTCAGCTGCCTTTTATTGTTTCTGTCCCTTTCTTGCTCTAAAAACCTTTACTTATTTAGTTTTTTTCCTTGCACATTAATGCTTGGGAACTCTCTTCTACCATGTTTTCCTGATGTATACAATGTCTACCATGTTTTCCTGATATATACAATTACAGGTTTGTAAGTCTTCAGTTTTCTTGCTCTTTTATTCTGGCCATAAAGTTTTAAATTCTAGCTATAGATAAAGCAAAGTGTACATTCATCAGCTGATCTATTTAGCCATAGATAAAGCAAAGTGTATGTTCATCTTTAAGTTGTCGTTCATTCATTTTAGTTGTTGTTTATAAAGTTCATTGTTCATTGTTGTTGTACATTTATTTTAAGTGTTTTAAAAACATTTACATTTATCATAAAAAGAACACTTTTTAACAATCTTTCAATAATTTAAATATCTCATTTAAAGTCTTTATTACATCAATCTATATTACATTTGTGCACAAATGATAAATAAATATGTTGATAACTTGTTTTCATGTAGCTTTTTGATTTTTTCTTTTTGTACGAAACCATTTTATAATCTTTTTTAAGACACAATCTTTATTTTGATATTATCAATATTTTTTTAATTTCAAAAAATCATATTTTTCTTTTCAAGGAAATATGTTATTATGTGTGTACCTGTGTTTATTTGGAGTTAGGCCCATTTGGCCCCTTGTCATTTATTCCTAGTATCTAAAACATAAAATAAATAATAAAAATATAAAGGTATGTAAAACTTCAACAACATCGAAAAACTTTTTAGCTTTTAAAAAATCAGTTTTAAATACTGTTATTTTTAATTTTCTTAAGTTACTTTTTATTATTTTTAGTAAAGTTGAACAGAAAAATGTTGATGAACAGGTAAGGTTTTTTTAAATAAAATTTAAATAATAATAATATAATTATGCACAATCTGTTAAAAGCTGTGTTAAAACCACATTAAAAAATGCTTGTCGTGTCTGTCTTTTGTGAGGCCGAAAGAGATATATTGAACAATTATCCCTAATTTGAGTGGGACATACTAAATCTCATAAAAAAACTTATTATTACATTTAGTAAGATAACAGAATGTCTTATCACATTATCTATGTTGTCCTTCATATTATCTATGTTGTCCTTCATACAGTCTGATCGAATCAGACTGTATGAAGGACAACATAGTAATAGGGTAGATGACTCATTAAGTACATTCATAAATATAGGAGAATCTAGATTATTGTGATAATGACTAGCTGGAAAAAATTGAGTTTTATCTGAATTGAAGTCCACCAGTCACTGAGAGCCTCATGTTGTAGCAGAAATGAGACCCTTCTCATGCTCAAATGCTTTTTCCAAGCAATCAGAGAGTATTGGCTTTTTTTTTTAATATTCTTTCACCTCTCCAAGACCAAGAAGGCCACTACAGTCAAGGAGGCTACTATAATTGAGATTACAACCCTCTCTCAACTCTATAATGCTAAAACATGAACCTTGATGAGCAAGGTTGCTGCGTGGAAAAATACGTTGACTTCTTATCAAGACAAGAATAAATGGTAATATCATCAGCAAATAATGCCACCTTAGATGTGAGAATTTCTGGAAGATCATTAATGTAAATTAAAGAAAATATAGGGCCTAGTATAAAACCTTGGGGAACCCCTGAAGTTACAGGATATGAAGAACAGTGCTATCTATTGAGGACAACTTTATACTATGATTGGTAAGGAAGGATTCAATAATCCTAAAGATGTTACCTGATACACCGATTTTAATAAAACTTGTTAAATAGTTTTGAAAGTATAGACTACAGCTCCTAAGAACACTTTTGTAAGACTATAACAGGTATGTTGTGCGGACCACAAGCTGTAAATGAGTCAAAGCAGGAAATTACTTTGGATATAGAAGTTGGAGTGACACTAAAATCAGGCATTGGACTAACCTGTTTTTCAGCTATATCAGGTAGAACTCGACTAGTGGAATCAAGAGATGTTATTGATGAGAAGTTTTTAGTAAACAATTCAGCTTTGTCTTTAGGTGAAGTGGCAAAGTCTGAACCATACAACAGAGGTGGAATAACAGATTTGCCCTTATTATTGATACTTATAAAGATTCTCCAGAAGTCACAAGAGCCTAATTTTTGAGATAAAATACAAGATTTTGTGAAATGTCTGGCAAAATGATTAGGAATTAAAAGCTAATGTAAAAAATTGCAAATTACATCCAAAGTATGCCAAGAAGTATACAAGCAATAATTGATGCAAACAACGTTGCAACCAAATACTAAAAAACATTTTGCATATATGAGTTTTCTTATACAAATGGTTAAAAATTGTATATTCATAGATTATGCTACTCACATAATCACCAAGCTAACTTACTGTTGTAGCATCTCAGCTTCCTGGTTGTGGGTAAAACCATTAGATACATGATGTAAACACCATTCTGATACTAATAGATATTGTTAGGTATATTCATTATATGATTTTCTCTTGACTCTTATAGCCAAAATTTTAACATAGTTTAGTCACCGGGCTTGTAATTTTTTATAGTTAACTTGTATAATTTTTCACTACATTCTCAAATTTGTAATACAATAAAAACAATATATATCAAGGATGTACACTCGTGGCTCAACGGTACCAGGCAACCGAATTTTGTGTAGGGCGACTAAATTTTTTACTTTGATACAATAGAGTTGCCCCGCCGGGCAACTATTGATTTTTTTTAAGAATTACTTTTTATTTTATCTTATATTTATTTAATTAAGTTATTTAAGTTATTTATTTAATTAGTTAATTAAGTAATTTATGAAATAAATAATTATAAGACTGTTTTAAATTGTAGTTTTACTTTGTAAAGTGATTTTTAATTTTATAAACAAAGTTATGTTTTTTTAAGTTTTTGTTGATGTTCATAAAACACAGCGATTGACATCAACACAACGATTTTTTTTTGCTATTAATATAAAAGTTCATTTTTCTTTTTCTTTGTAAATAAAAATGTCTTCAAATATTAAAATTTTAACACGCATTAAATTATAATTGGGAGAGCAACAATATTTTTAAAAGATTTTTGTAATTATAGAATAAAGGAGTTACACTTGTTTTTTTTTTGAAAATTTTGACTTAATGGGTGTTACTAAAACATTTTTTTTTAATCATTTGAAATATTTGAGATAATTTTGTTTTGTAAAAGGAATAAAAACAAAAATAAAATGTTCTATCATACAACATTTAATACAATAGTAAAAAAATAGTTTATAAAAAGCGCAGCAAATAATGAACTTGGTTAAATTTTAATAATTTGTTGTTACTTTTTATCAAAAAAAAATCAGAAAAATATATTTCTGATAGTTATTATCAAATACACTCATTGTTTAACTATTATTAAAATAAAAAAATCTTAATTGTTAAAGGTAAGCAGAAACAGTCTTTATTGATGTCTGTAAGCAAACCGCATTTTTTGCAAAATTATAAAAAATGTTGTTAAAGGGGGGATTAGCTGTTAAACGAGCACATTTTTAAATCTAGAAGTTCTTGTTTTAGAAAATAGTTCACTAATTTTTTAAATTCAATGGATTATAAGATAAAACCAGATTTCAATTTTGAAATATTTAGTCTTAACATTTTAAGCTAAAGCCTTTAAAAAACTTAAGCAATTCTTTTCTATGCATACAGTTTTAATAATATGGTGTTAGGTTGTTAACAAATAAAGACTCTAATAAAATATTTCATGACCAAAACTGAGTTAAAGTTTTTGAATTAACCTCGTTTTTGGTAATAAAATTATTTTATGGCACTCGAATAAATCTTTTCTCACAAATAAAAAAACGTTTCTTTAAATGTACAAATAGCTAATTTATATTGTTTGATATTGTGTTTTTATTCTCATAAAAAACTTTTTTATAGTGAGTTGATCAATTAATAAGTTCTTTAAGTAGAAAATGATCTTTGAACACCCAGTTGATAATAGATTTATGCACCATTTTAAAGAAAAAACCGACTTTGTTTATTTTATACTTCAAAATTAGTCTCGCTAAGAAAGTTGTTTTTATAAAGTTTATTACATATTTGCTTGGGAAGTACAGAATTTAAGGTCACGTGATTGTTTTGAAATGTAAACAATGTTTTTGCACATTAAACTAGAAAAATTTGTTTCAAAACTAGCCAAGTTTGAAAACATATTTCATAACATAGCTAGAGGTACAGCAAACAATTTTTTGATTTTTATATGCAGAAAGGGTTGAAATTTCAATAATTTGGTGTGGATTACAAAAATAATACGATTTTCATTATTTAATAATAAAATTAAAAATATAAATGCATTAAAAAATAGTTAAAAAATAAAAAATAAGCAATCCGCACCAAAAATTAGATAGAATAAATATTTATTGATAAATGTTTCAACCATGAGACATGTAGCTATGTTATGAAATCTTAGTTGACCCAAGTCAGGTTTTCCGTAAAAACCACAAAAAACAGAAAAGTGATCTCAAATCGTTAGCAATATTTAAACATTAATATTTTTATTCCGTTTAATGTAAATATTTATTTAACAAAAAAAGAATGATGGCGCTTATAGGAAAAAAACACTACTATTTTAAAGTTAGTGCATTTTTAAACTTTTTTTGCAGAATTATTTTTTTTTGATAAACACAAAAATAACTATGACGTCAAGCTCGGTTTTATATTGAGTGAAACAGCCGCGATTTATATATATTAACCCTCAGAATTAGGGTCGGCATTTGGCAATGCCGACCTAACTGCCAACCTTAAAGTATTTGGGGTTGTCAAAAAATTGCTGACCTCAGTTCTATGTTTTACAATAAGACCTTTGTATCAATTTTTTTTTTTGCTGACCATTAAAAGATTGAGGTAGGCCTTTTTGCTGACTTTTCCTAATTCCAAGGGTTGTATATATATATATATATATATATATATATATATATATATATATATATATATATATATATATATATATATATATATATATATGTATATATATATATATATATATATATATATATATATATATATATATATATATATATATATATATATATATATATATTTTTTTTTTTTTTTTTATTTTACTTCACCTCCTCAAGGCCGAGAAGGCCACTACAAGCGAGGAGGCTACTTATGTTGTGGCTATAACCCTCTCTTAACTCTATAACTCCGAAACACGAACCTTGACGAACAAGGCCGCTGCGCGGAGAAACGAGTTGAGCGCGGTACTACCAGGGACGTGGTGGGGATCGAACTCGGAACCACTCGTTTATGAAACGAGCGCTCTACCACTACACCACTACCGCATATTTTATATATATATATATATATATATATATATATATATATATATATATATATATATATATATATATATGTATATATATGTATATATATATATATATATATATATATATATATATATATATATATATATATATATATATATATATATATATATATATATATATATATATATATATATAAATTATGTTAGTGTATTCTACAAATAGAGTGCTCAATATTCTTAAAGAACAGAGCAATAATAAATTAGTAAAAGCACTTATCTAATTATCTTTAGCAATTTGTTCACTATCAGTAGGCTCATCAGGAAGATTGTCTAAACATCAAAAAAAAATTTAAGTTAAAGAAAAAATATTTCACAGGAAGTTGGAAATTGGTTTAATTATTTTTGTAATAACTGTAGTGTTTCAACCAGGAATTTGCATCAACTACATTAAAATTAAATAATTAATCATGAAAAAAATTCTTTAAAATTAGGATATATTTAGCCTGGTCATTTGTTCTTAAAATTTTTAAAAAAATACTTATTTTATTGTCTGCATTTAGAAATTAAGATTTTTTGCTTAATAAATTTTCTTGGTCCAAATGAGTAATAGTTTTAAATTTTTCTTGTAAACATAGTATACATTTTTTTGGAAATGTTATTATAGCTAGGCGCAGTTTTAAGAATAGACCAGTTTAATTTAAAATTAAACTGGTCTATTCTTAAAACTAAATATTTTTTTCTTTTAGTTACCAAATATATTTTGACAGCTTAGTCTCTTTTGAGTATTTTTTTATGTTTAAAAGATTGTTTGTGGTTAAGTCTTTAGATTTTGGCATTTATTATAAAGACTCCAAGAACTAAAGTAAAATGAAGAATGCGAATTTCAACTAAAACTGCTTTAGTTTATATTAATATAGATTATTTATTTGGTTTTTATCAAAAAAAAATATAGCCCAAATGATTAATAGTTTTTTTATTATGATTAATAGTATTTTTATAAACACAACTTGTCTCGTCACTTAAAAAGTAAAATTTTATTAAAATAAATTTATCTGTTCTGAACTATCAGTTAATTTATCTCACTACAGATAAACCAAACTTCCAAACCTCACTCCCTAAATCCTTTCGAGCTTGTGTAACACCAGTATTTTTTGGAGAAAACAAGATAATAAAGAAAAAAAAATACGTTATATACAAACAAGACAAAATGATAATAAATACACAAACAGTGATATTCAAAAAACATATAATACATAATACAAAAAATAAATTTTTTTTTTACTTTTTTACAGAATCTTTTTGTCTTTTGATGAAATTAGACGTATTTCATGTTGACATTTGTTCACATATTTTATATTCATAATTTTATAATTTTAGAAATCGTTAATTGAGAAAAATGAAGATATTAACTTTTATAAACCTTGTAATGCTCTTGATGAATTAAGGTATGACTTTATAGTTAATTGTTAAGGTGTGATTTTAATAATAAGTTAAGGTATGATTTTATAGTTAATTGAAAATTATAATTGTTATTAACATTTTAAGTTATATATCTAAAACAAGCCTTGCATATATTGCATAGTAGTTATGCATAATTTATACTTTATAAAAATATAATCCTAATGCAGGGCATGTGGACATATTTGGGACATGTGGCGCTATTTGGAACAGTTTATATTTTCTGATCTAATTTATGTATTACTCAAAAATTTAGAATCATATTCTGATTAAACTCAATATAAAGTATAATCGTAGAATCACAATATATGATATTTATACTTTCAAAAACACGACAGAAAAATACTTTCGTTTTACCATTATTGCTGAATTTTTGAAGGTTTTAACATTTAAACACTAATTTATTTGTTATGTATTTTTTTACAAAGAGAACTTTTAGTATTTGAATTTTACGTAGATTTTGTTGGAGTATTCTATTTTTTGGTACTTGAAATTATTTTGCCAGAATTTTGATATTGAAATAGTGGGGCTAATCCGAACATTTTGGGGCTAATCCAAACATTGCTGTTGGTTGGTATACCTATACTTTACCATTTATTTAATAAGTTTTAAGCAGGCCTCAGCAGGAATAAATGAGCACGAGAGTGGAGAAAAGCTCTCCTAAAATGAACTTGGGAAGCTGTGCGAGCTACTCCTCATTTAAATGGGCGCTCTTTTTTAATTTTGATTTAAACCTCATTCACATTATAAAATAACTTTTTACTTGGTTTCTTTATTTTAATTTTTACTGTTTCAATTTACTACTGTGATTGAAGGTGATTGGTTACATGTGACTGCATCAATGTATAACATTCCTGTCACAACTCTCTATGACCACTTATTTGGAAATTCAAAATTCAGTAAAGGGCATTCAACAGCTATATCTTTTTGTGAAAATATGAGAGAAATAGTAAAGAAATAAATAGTAAAGAGAGAAAGTGAAATAGTGAAGAGAGAAAGTGAAATAGTGATTGTATCCTCATAAGAATATGCATCTGATTTTGGTTGGCACTAAACCAAAAAAACATTACTAGCCTTAGAAAAAAGAGGGTTTTCTCGAATATCTAAAAAAACTCCAAACGTTTTAACAGTTTTAACAGTCAAATCTCATTCTGTAAAAAACGTAGAAAATTTTTTTGAAACTTTTAAAAAACTTTATGATAAGTATGATTTACATAATATTCCTGATGTTATAATCTGGATGAGGCTAGATTTTGAAACAGCAAAGTAAATAAGCAATGTTTTTTAAATTGCTTTTATTTTCACTCCCAATTTTGTGGCAAAACTTGTGGTATTAATATGTGGAAATGCTACTGGTTTTCTTATGTCAACTTTTGTAGTTTATGGAGAAATCTTCACAACACTTGGTGTATAGGGGGTCTTAATGATGCCCAATATGCTGCATCTGAGTAAGGGTTGATGAGAGCTTTTGTCTTTGAAAATTGATTTATCAAGGTAAGTCTGCTAGTAAGACTTATTCAGCATAAACTTTAGTTTATTACTTTACCCTTTCAATTTTGTAGATTACAGTCTTTATTACTTATAAAATTATTCAAAATGAAAAGATGTGTATATAGCACTATTTATGGATGGTCATGGCAGCTATCTTACATATATTTTTGCATTACAGGCTTTATCTTAAATCTCTTAATATTTTCCTTATTTAGTTATATTTAAGTTTATTGATAACTTCCTGCAATTTAGATTGCACTCATTTGTCTTCCCCCAAATAGCAGTCACGGTTTACAACCTTCAGACATTGGTTTAAACCAATGAAGCAAATTTGGAGAGACGTTTTGCACAATTTCTTCCAAGATTCTTGCCATACGTTGGTCATCAAGGCTATTTTTCTAAATGTACTGAGACTAAATTGGCTGAAAGTAAACAGAAAAAATTTACAATCTGGTTTTAGAGCAAGTTGAGCCCATTATTACCAGGGGCATGGTAGGTATTGAACTCAGAACTTCTTGTTTAATTGGATTGGAAGAAAGAGAATGGCTATAAGATTCAAAAGTCAAATTAAAAAAAAAGTTCTTTGCAAATAGTTAAGCCTTATCATTGGCAGAGGTAGTAAGATCAACCCCATGAATAAGAGATGGAATGTTAAACTTTGTTAATCAAGATTTTCCAAAGGTCTCTAGAGCCTAACTTCAGAGATAAGATACAAAATTTTTTGTATCTTATCTCTGAAGTTAGGCTCTTTTGGAAAATCTTCAACAGCTTGATTAACAAAGTTTAATATTCCATTTTTTATTCATGGGGTTGATCTTATTACCTATAAACTGGGAATAATGGAACCTAGCATCAAACATCATCTCTTTACATTGATTTCTTGTAACAACAAAAAAGGCTTTTTGTTCCCAAGAAAATTATTTTCTTGAAAAGATGAAAAAAATGGTTATGATTAGATATAGCAGCTGCATAAGAAGGTGACAACCATGAAATAGTATGAAGCTTGACTTAAAACTAGCAAGAAGGAATAAAAGCTTCCATACCTGTCTAAATCCAGAAAGTTATGTAGGAGGCGCATTTATCAGCGGAAAAAGAAAAGACACCAGCCCAAGGACGATTATGATTGTTAGGAAGAAAATCACCAAAAGAATCTCAGTCAGCTTTAGGTAGTAGTTAATAGTGTGATGATAGGGTGAGTATGAAGAAGAAGTATGAGATGAAAGATCTATAGAGATCTTTGCATGGTCAGAACCACCTAAAGTAGAACAAGGAGAAATTGAACGCTAGGAGAGAAGATACTTAACTCATTCATATACAGAGCACAGCATCTTAACCAATGAGCTATCTACTTGTCTCAGTCCTGTTAATTAAATCAAAGTTGCAACTTAGAGCTCCTTATGTGGCTTCTACAGTGCACACCAAGCAGGTTACCAGGAACATCATTCATGTGCAACATGGCACCATTAATACTCTGATATTTTACAGCAGTTGATGGAATCAGCCTTGTTGAGAGTTTAGTAAGTAAAGCTTACTACCAGCTGTACCCTCATTAGAGATAACAGGAAGAGTTGCATAGCCACTACAAAGGAGGCACAAGCAAAATACTAATAATACAAAGATACTAATATCCTAGGCAGAAAACAATGTATCACAAGTTTACATCTATACCAGCCTACTAGATGATGAAGAGGTTTAAGGCTGGTTCAGACAGAACACAAACATACATATAGTAACTTACAGATGAGTGAGCACCACACAAGAGATTTAAACAGAATGCAAGTATACAAATAGCTACTTAAGGGTGAGTAAACACACATAAATATCAAGTAAATTACAGGTGAGCAGTAATTAAGTAGCTAAGGCACCTCTAATCATTTTTAAGACACAAAAAAAACAATGTATTGATAAGACAGATATTAGATTGATGACAGAAGGTACTTATTACTACTGAAACTAAGAACTACAGGTTACTAAGAACTACAGGTTCTTCTAGCCTTTGCTTAGTAAGCGAATCCCAGAAAGCAGCAAGACATAGAACAGGTTACACTGGATTACATGCTGCCAGTAACAAAGTGATCATGATGACCATACATCTGACCCTGACACAGAGTTAGTTGTATAAAAAATATTTTAAAATGGCACTTAATGAATTAGTAATTCTACCTAAACTTTGGTATCACATGTACATACACACTAAGGTATGTATGTACATTTTAGTATCAAATGTACATTACACTAAAGTATGTATGTACATGTGATACTAAAATTTAGGTAGAATTACCAATTTGTTAAAATATGTTTAACATATGTTTCTTTTTCACAAATGCTTTATAAATATTTTATAAAACTTAAATAACTTTAATATGTTAAAATTATATATTCATTAGATAACTTTATTATGTGAATATATTTAAAACTATTTTAGTTATGCAAAATAGCAAAATAAAAAAAGTTTAAAAAAATTATAAAAAAAATACAAATATAAGTTTACAAAATGAAAAGAAAGCATTCACGTTTGAATGAATGACCTTGCTACACTAATACATGATTATTTTTTTTTTTTTTATTGTTTGAAATTCCTGGTTAAATTTTTCCTTATTGTTATTGAATAAGATTTTCTAGAATGAGTTTAAGATTAGTGGAAAAAGTGGATTTTTTAAGACATTCTGCATCCCACGGGATTGAGTAATGGAGTAATGGAATTGACAGGCTATACAAAGCAATCTAATTTGTGGTGTCCCAGAAACCAAACACCAAGCTGTGTGTGAGTTGATGCTTTTTTTTTTAATTTTCTGGTATGGCATATCTGATCTGTTTTGCTTTACCAATTATTTACTGTATACTCTTCTCAATGGTTTTTGACACGGTTTTTGAAATAGGGGGGGGCACAATTAAATTTAAAAAAAAGGTACTATATATTATGAAATTTCTATTTAAAAACAGGTCCTTTAGAAAAAAAAGTTGAGGGGGCGAGGGGACACATCATCAGCCTTGATAAATACAATCTTTTATTTGAAAAAGTCAGACTTATAATTATCAGACCATTTGTGTAACACATCTTAAAAAGTTATGATAGTTAGATGAAGGTGGTAGAATAATGGAGGATCAAAAAAAGACAAATCTTTGATGTTCAAGTGCTCTTCTCTTTCAAACCTTTCTGTGTTTGTAGCTGCTGGCTTCATCATCACTAATTTCACAAAGACATAAGAATGCATAAACTTTGTATACACATCAAAAATTATTTGAATATGAACAAACTGAAAATTTTTTATATTGATTCCTCTAGACAGAAGAATGTTTGCCAGGTAACACTTACATTGTTGTTTTAAACATGATATTCAATGATCAGCACATTCTTTTAAAAAGTATATATTATATACTAGAGCATTATGATCAGCCTGACAGGTGAATGGCTGTCAACCCTGACAGATGAAGGCTGATGACTATTCACTAGTAGAACTAAGTTTATAAAAATTATTTTTCTTAGACTTGCTATCATTATTATAAGAGATGTTTTATGGATCTGCAAATTCAGGAAACATTAGCTATATTGCTAACAGATTAAAACCAAGTGACAAATCATAAGAATATAATCTTGAAATTGAACTTTTATTTTCCTGTTTACAAAAAGTTTTTATTTTTCAATAGTTTCAATCTCATGCAATTATTTCACATTCATGTTCCAATTTTATTTTTTTACACAATTTTGTTATTAATGTTTATTAGGGATGTACCATAATTCCGGCCGGATTTTAAGAATTTTAGGTCATTCCAGTTCTGGCCGGAATTAAAATTTTTCAGACCAGAATGCCGTAATTTATTTTTTCAATTTATTTTTAAGACATGTGACATGTGACATGTGACACAGATTGTGTAAATTAAATTAAAAGATCTTAGCCCTACAAAAACCTTCAAATAAAAATACCTATGCAAAAAATATAAAACGGATAACAAACACGTAACTTTATTTGCAATAATGAATTATGTAAGGATCTTTGGAACTTTTAGAACTGGCATAAAAAGAGTTGCTATCCAGTTTTAAACAACAAACTAGTTTTTTCATCATAAAAATTGTTTTAAATGTTCCTTAAATTTTAAACAATTTAAAAGTGTAAGATGTCTAATATAGATAATATTTCAATTTTAATCTAAATAAAAAATTAGAAAAAAATGAAATAATTTTAAATATAAATATTATGCAGATTGAAACTTTCAATAAATAAAATTATAAGAAGCAAATAAAAACAACATATTACATTTAAACAAAACAAGAATCAAATTAATGAAATTGGCTAAATATAAAAAACGCACGCTTTTATTTTGATTTCTCCCTTCTCCCTTTTTCTCCCCCAATGCATTTTGCTATACGCTTTTTTGAGTACCCCTCACCTCCCTAAAAGTACCTACGCTTTTAGCCTGCCTAACTTTTTATGATATTTTTATTCAACTTAGTGTCCCTTACATTTATAATTAATCCCTTCCCCCTTCCTTCCCCATTTCATATATGCTATTTGCAGACCCACTCTTTTCATCCAAGAGTATGTGCTTTATGAATGATAATTATACATAATTCTTGTTCCAGCCAGAATTCCAAGTTGAGAACGAGTTGAGTGCGGTACTACCAGGGACGTGGTGGGGATTGAACTCGGAACCTCTTGCTTATGAAGCGAGCGCTCTACCACTACATCGCTACCACGATAAATGATATAAATACCGTGATAAATGATATATGATAAAAATTACAATAATGCACTCCTGACCAGTGATGCTAATCTTTTTCATCAGGCTCTGATAAAAATTGTACTTTGCATTTTTATTATGTTTGTGCAAAGTCTTTTAATTTTTTCACACATTTATATATATATATATATATAGGTATATTTGTTTATAGATATATATAGATATATTTACTTACGATTCAATCCTCATGTTCTGCAACTGACTTGTTAACTGTTATAAGAGAAATGACATATCAAAAGCCTTCAATAAAATCTAATATACTGGTCTTCTCGATTAGCTTACTTTATATGGTGTCTCTGGTAAAGTTTTTGAGGTTGTTAAACCATCTCTTTTTAACCACATAATCATTTTAAAGTTGTTCTCAAAGCTCAATACTCTTCGTTTGCCTTAACCTTTGTTTTTCTATCCTTGGTCCTGTATTGCTTCTCATTTAATTAGAAGATTAAATGTAGTATCAAATATTTTTCAAGTTTTTTTTTTCAAGGAAAAAAAAAAATCCATAAATGGATTGAGTGTGTGTGTATGGGTGGGAGGGTGGGTGGGGATAGTTAGGCAATAAAGAGAGCAATTGTATACAAATTATTTTTATAGTCTACAATTAGTTTTGAATGTCGAAACTTAAAAAAAGAAATTTCTCATTAATTTACTCCTAACAAGGCTGCAGATAACCACTTTTGGGATAATATATAATATTTAATTATACTTTTTTAGTTGTGTTTTATTATTTTAAGATTTATATATTCCTGGGTCAAAATTCCGATCACATATAGCCAGTTAAATGTAGAAAAAGTGCCAGCAGACATTCTTTATTCTTTTTTACAAGAAAAGTTGAACAACATGAAAAGGTATGCCTATAAAATGTTTTAAAAATTATTTTGAAATTTTCTTTTTAATATTTTTAATTTTATGTTATAATTTTTATGGTTAGATACAGTTTTTCGGTTGAAAAAGCATTAATTTTACTGACTAATTGGTTAAAGGAATCAATAAATCCTGATAAGTTCACAGAGCAAGCAAAAATAATTTTTAACAATGGTAAGTTTTTTTTTAGTTATACTTTTTAATTTTTTGTTATTTAAAAGCTTTTGTATTTGAATTATGTTTTTTATTTAGAAGCTGAAATTTTTTATATTTAGAAGCTGAAACTTTTGTATTAGACTTATGGAAGTTTGTTTATGCCAAGTCTTTATGTATCTCCAATAATATTTCAGAGGTAAAAAAAGTTTCAACTTTTAGTAAGTTTTACAATTTCTTCTTTTAAACTGAATTTAAATAAGAGATGGTTATAGTTACATGTGACTTTGGTAGAAGTTACTTTAGTAACATTTTTTAACATTTTGGTAGTACTGTATTTTAAATAGTAAAATCTTGTAAGTGACTGAGGTTACTGTTTCAGCCCTAACTAAATGATGTTACCATGAACTAGAATATAATATACAATACAATATTTATGTAATTATTTATTTATAATTACACATTATGATTTATATTATCAATATTTTACTTGTGTTATACGAGGCTGGATAGCTCTTTTTTTAAACAAATTTCTTTCCAACATAGAAGCAACCACTATTTAGTAGTTTCCAGATAATACATAATTTTGTTAAAGAAGCAAGAAACAACAAAAGACATGAAATTAAAAAAAAACAAAAAAAAAAACTATAAATTGTATGAGTTAGGAAAACATAAAAATGGGAAAGAGTTCCAAAGCATTGATGTGTGAGAAAAAAAAAAAACTAGGTAAATAAAAAAATATGAAGATAGGAAAGAGTTCCAAAGCATTGATGTGTGAGGAAAAAAAAATTGGACTATTTATAGAAGAGTATCATTAGATGAACCAGCACAAATATAAAAAAAGTAATTGATACAGGAACAAATTAGTGATTTATAGAGGTAGAGAATGGAATCATTGATGAGTGAATGGTAAGCCTTATAAAGAAAAGGCAACCTTCGCAGATGCTAATTTAGCAATGTTTTCAGAATAAGTCAGCAGTAAATTATAATCTGAGAAGACTGAGGGCTCAGTGATTCAATTCATTTTCATTCAAAGTGTTATTATTAGAGGGCTCAGTGTTTCAATTCATTTTCATTCAAAGTGTTATTATAGAGGGCTCAGTGTTTCAATTCATTTTCATTCAAAGTGTTATTATAGAGGGCTCAGTGTTTCAATTCATTTTCATTCAAAGTGTTATTATAGAGGGCTCAGTGTTTCAATTCATTTTCATTCAAAGTGTTATTATAGAGGGCTCAGTGTTTCAATTCATTTTCATTCAAAGTGTTATTATAGAGGGCTCAGTGTTTCAATTCATTTTCATTCAAAGTGTTAACATAGAGGGCTCAGTGTTTCAATTCATTTTCATTCAAAGTGTTATTATAGAGGGCTCAGTGTTTCAATTCATTTTCATTCAAAGTGTTATTATAGAGGGCTCAGTGTTTCAATTCATTTTCATTCAAAGTGTTATTATAGAGGGCTCAGTGTTTCAATTCATTTTCATTCAAAGTGTTATTATAGAGGGCTCAGTGTTTCAATTCATTTTCATTCAAAGTGTTATTATAGAGGGTTCAGTGTTTCAATTCATTTTCATTCAAAGTGTTATTATAGAGGGCTCAGTGTTTTAATTCATTTTCATTCAAAGTGTTATTATAGAGGGCTCAGTGTTTCAATTCATTTTCATTCAAAGTGTTATTATAGAGGGCTCAGTGTTTCAATTCATTTTCATTCAAAGTGTTATTATAGAGGGCTCAGTGTTTTAATTCATTTTCATTCAAAGTGTTATTATAGAGGTCTCAGTGTTTCAATTCATTAATATAGAATATCAACAATAAATGATTTAATTATCTCAAAAACCTTACCAGATACAGTATATAAAGCAAGCTAGTGAAAAAGACCAGCATGCCAGACTTTATGGAAAGCTTTTTATATGTCATTTCTTTTAGATACTTATATGGTTGGTATAGAAGATGATATTTATAGATAGTGGATCACACTACCTATAAATATTATCTTTCAATGTATTTCATATTTGGTGTTTAAAGACCTCATCAATTTCTCAAATTTTTTTACAAAGGTTTTCATCCTGGCTCGTGGTTTTTTTTTGTGTGTGTGCAAAAAATGTTTGGCGCCTTTGATTTTTTTTCAATAAGGTACTAAAAAGCCATATTATAAGCAAAAATCAGCCACTATTTTCTATGGTTTTATATTATTATCTTTTAAAAGTAAAGCGAAGCCATTATCAATTTTTTTTTATGTTTTATAATTTGTAACTATCAAATTATTTTAAAATAGGTTTATAGTTTATAAACTATAATTTTTGATTATAATTTTAAGGCAAATTAAATTCATTTATGACAAAAAAATTAAACAACCAGAGTTATGATTGAAACTTATTTCTTTATTAATCAAAAAAAATTAAAATTACTTAAATAATCCAAGTAACAACAGGAGAAAAATGAAAATAAAACATGACAAAAAAATATGTTTAAATAAAACATAAAAAGTATTGCATAAAATATTAAACTTTACTACTAAGGGATTCGCCTGGCTTTGATTTTAGCAAAATCTTTACGCAACAGATCTAGGTTAATAGATTTGACAATGTCCGATTCTATGGAGATTATTGCCAAACCATTCAATTTTTCTTGCCCCATAGTTGATCGCTGGTAATTTTTAATCATTTTTAATTTAGAAAAAGTTCTTTCACCTTTAGCAACAGAAACGGGCAAAGTTAATAGCACTCTTAATGCAATCAGTGCATTTGGAAAGAGTTCTTCAACGTTGTCATTATAAATCCATTTCAAAATGTTTTCAGGGTTAGTATCATCTTCAATTTTTCAAGACAACAACTTCAGCTCAATTTGTAATTCGTTTGCGTCAAGATCTTTGCTTTCTTTATAAGTTAATGTTGTTTCTAATAATTTACATTTATCTATGAGTTCATTGTTCTCCATTTCATCACATTTTTTAATATCATACAAAAGTTCAAAAGGTAGTATAACACTTTTAAATGATTCAAAACGTTCTTTCATTGAAGAAATTGCTATTGTAAATAATACGTCGAAAAATTTCCTTTTGAATTTCATTTTAGGATTAATGGACTCAAGTGCTACTAGCTCCTCTCCAAAAAAAGCGTTCTTTTTCGGACCCAATTTTCTACCTCAGCCTAAAATTGTTAGTTAAATCCGCATCTATAGCGCATACTTTAGCTTCTGAAACATATTTAGCGAAAGAAACTTTGGAATTATGAGAAATCAAAAATTCAGTTGTTTTTTTTAACACTCTACCTGCTGATCTCACATCCATGTTCAGCGATTGTAATAATTTGCTCGTACAATTTATTTCTGATAGAACATCTTGCCAGATTATTAGACCACAAATAAATTCAAAACTGTCTACTTTTGATGTGATTGATTCAGCTTTTATGCGTGTAAGTGCGACTTTTTTTAACGTTGAATAAATGTATTTCAATCCGGTTTTCAAAGCACTTACGGCATTAACATGGCTTTCCCATTGTGTATCACTTAATGATTTTACTGTCAATTTACAACACATGGATATGAAAATATGCCAACGCTTTGGCGATCTTGAGGAAAAATTGTAAATTGTTTGGATGGTTGAAAAAAATTAATAATTTCAATAGCTCCTTGCACTGCATCAACAACGACTAAATTTAAGGAGTGGCAGACACATGCAATGAAGAAAGCCCTTGGATTTATATTTGTAATATGAGCCTGAACACCGTTTATTTTTCCACGCATATTGGCACCATTATCGTAGCCTTGACCACGAAGATTCATAATTGATAAGCCATTTTGAGTCAAAAAAGTTATTAATTCTTCGGCCATCTTCACTCCGGTTGAATCCAAAATGTTAATAAATTCCAAAAAAATTTCTTTAACTTCCACACTAGCATTACTACCTTCAGTTGATTTTCTTATGTGGACGAAATGCAGAACAATTGACATTTGTTCTTTATGGCTGGCATCAGGTGTACAGTCTACAATAACAGAAAAACACATTGCATTTTTTACCATTTCCAAAATATTATCCTTTGTAGCTTTAGTGATCAATAAAATAATTTCTTGCTGGATATTTTTTCCCAAGTAATGAGGCTTTTTTGGATTTTCTACTGCTTGTTTAACGTGTTTTTCTAACACCGGATCAAACTTTAGAAACAACTTAACAATTTTAAAAAATTTACCATTATTTTCGGTGAATATTCTGTCTGAAGATCCTCTGAATGCAATAATTTTTGAGGCCATCATTAAAATAATTGAGATTATTCGCTTGAGCACTTCATCCCAATGTTCTACTTCACTCAAGTATAATTTATTAGCTAGACAATCAACGACTTGACCACAAGAAAGCCATTTTTTAAGCTCAATCCACTTTCCATAGCATTGAAAATGCTCAGTACTTTGTTCGTGTCTGTTTAAAATTACTGTTTTGTGGCCCCAATCATTTGTTCTTCTTTTTGTTAAGGCAAATTCATCGCTACTAAATATTTTACAACAAAAAAATGTATATATATGAAAATTTATATATTATAATAATATATTTAATAATTTATATCATAATTATAACTACTAGCAAAAGGCAACCCGTAATACGGTTTTGGTTGGTCTGATACATAATTTATAGTGGCTGTTTTCCACAATTTAATCTTGCAAAACCTTAACTAATACCCTTTTAGAAAATCGCCTTCAGCTTGAAAAAATTAATCCATCTGTAAAATTAACATAAAAATTATGAGGAGGTAAAATAATTTACTGACTACTACTTAACATTTACAAATACTACTTAACATTATTTAAGTAATTTACAAATGGCATAGGTCATAAAAGTGTATGGCAAAACTATTTTCATCGACCTTCTTAAGTTTAACACAATACGTTTTTAGTTACTGACACAAAATAATAACACTTGGTCATGCTTTAAATTGACGAAAGTGTCAACTAAATCCTTGTAATAATTTTTATAACACGAACCATTAAGATTAAAATGAAGTTAACTTATATTATACAGGAGTTATCAATTTTTTGGTATCCCCTTGATTAATTGTTCTATAGAAAAGAAAATTGTTAACTTAAAAATGTTAAATGCACACATTTAAATAAATTTATAAAAAATAACAAAGTTTATTATAACTACGCAACTGAGTATAAATACCTTTCAAACAAAAAAAATTGAATTTACGATCAAACATGGGTATAACAAATTTTTTAATACATTAATGCATCATATGACAAACTAAAATAAAAGTTATAAAAATTATAAGTAGACATAAAAATTTGTAAACCAAGCTGACACGACCCGGGTCTTGTTAAGTCTGTTCAACAAAGACCATTTCTATATTATTTGTTTGGCCTCTTTATTTCATTAAATTTTTAGTAAACGGTAATTTGCCACCATTTACTAAAAATTCCTTTTGTAACTCGAAATTTAATTTTCCTAAATATTTTGACTCTAATGATTGATGGTGGCCAGGTGAATAAAATAAAATAATAAAATGTAAAACAATGATCTACTTATATAAGAATGTTTTCTTTCTTTCCTCAAAAGTGTTGCAAATACAGACTAAGCTAACTAGTTAGTTAAACACATAAATAAAACTTAAGTAACTCGATATTAATGCGCAAAACTACAATATTCTCCATATTTTTAAAAGTTTTTAGTTACGACCCCCCATTTACAAAGATCCCTTAAAATACGTATAACAAATTATTAGGCATAAAATAGATAAAATATAAAATTAACTAATAGCATTTATTTATATCTTTTTAACCAACAAAAATTTACAATAAAAAGAAATCAGGTTTTTTTATTTTATAAATCTTATAAATGCATCATAACGTAATTCTAAAATAAAAAAGTAATGAAATTATGATACCATAATTACGAAGAAAAAAAACCAACAGAAACCACCACACAATTACCAAAAATCGATTTACCTATTTATAGTAACCTATTTTGAAATTGCAGTTAAAGATTTATCGAAAATGTAACTATAAAACCTGTTTCGAAGTACCAAAGCATTAACAATACTAAAAAAAAATCAAACTAAGATATAAATTGTTGTTTTGGCTTTTATAATTTAAACATATTGTAATTTTATTTATTACAATATTTGAACAATCAAGGGACAATTTAAAGAATTATATCTTTAAATAGCAAATTATCAATTGCAGTATTAAAAAATACGCAAGAGCTTAGTAATTACAGAGTTTAATCGAAGCTCAGTAATTACAGAGTTTAATCAATTCTCTCTCTACAATTCTCAATACTAATTCTTATTTAAGTCTCATCTAAGAGAGAGAGGAAGTGTTTTAAAAACACCATGTTAGAAAAAGTAAAAAAGTCATGCAATAAATAACAGTAACTGGTTTTATTATGCTACCAATAAACAAAATTATTTTTACCTTAACTAAAAGTTAATTTCCAGCATTTCTTAATTAATTTCCAGCTTCTCTCTAACTGTTGACAAATGATTAATATTGTAAATTTCACATCATATTATATTTACAAAATTAAAACCATGTTTCAACAGTAAGCAAAATAATCAAGTGATGACAAAGACAACTAAAAAAAAATGAACACAATTATGTTTAAGATTGCAAAAAAAAAAAAAAAAAAAAAAAAAAAAACATTTAAAATTGAAACTGTTATTATTTGTTACTATAAATAGTAAAATTCATACTTTGCTTTATTTTAAAGTGTCTAATGTAAAGTCAAATAATAGACATCAACACCGCATGACACTGAATTCTGCCAAGTAAGTTCATCAAGCAAAATTTCTTATATTTCAACGACAATTAATTTTATCACGCCTAGATTTATTTCTTTCATATGACAACAAAAATATTAAGTCACCTATAACCATTTACACTAATAACTTCTTCGAGCCTAATATTATACATCTGTTATCATTAAATATATATTACCAGTGATTATACTACTGTTACAACTGAATAAATGAACGTTTTATATTTTTACAACTGAAAAATATAAAACAAAATTTATTGACATTATTTTAATTTAGCAAAGAATTTAGAACACAGTGCAAAGTTATTTGCCTTCAGGCACATTCAGCCTTCAGGCACAATCTTAATGCACAAAAATAATAAATGCAGAATCTTGTATAAAAAATGAAGCAATGTCAGTCTAAAGTAATGTATATGTATGTATATATATTCAAATTTTTTCTATTCTTAATTTTTTCTTTGAGATAATATTCATATAGATTCAGAGAAATATAAAATATTCTGATATATAGGCACATTTATGTATATAAACTTACCTGTCAAAAGTTACAGTCAGTTTTTCATTTTAAATACTTTATGTATTTATATATCTAATATAAAATTAAACAAAACATTAAACTTACTCAAATCAGTAACAGTTCGACTGTCTAAATATTTTTATTATTAACCCTTCTATTTATAAAAAGAAACAAATGATTTGAAGTGACTAAAAACCACTTTAGCTCTTTCCAATTGCACTAAAAAATATAATAAATCTTGTTTCGCTAAGTTGCCTAGTTCTTAAGAATCTGAAAACAAATGAGTAAAAAACCAAGAACAAACAAACATTTATTTACTAAAACTACTCTATTTAAACAAATTAAATTAAACAGAGAACAACATTGATACTCCTTGAAAGCTGAAAAACTTTTTATCTCAAATTTGCTTGTAGACTTTGCTTATGAAACCACTTGAATAAGAAAAGCATCAAAAAAGCCTAGAAGCTACTTAAAAATGGTATATGCAACATTGAACTTTTAATGTTGATTGGTGTAGATATTTTTAAAAAATTCAAAATGATTTGTTCTTCTATAGCAAATGAATACACCATAAATCTGAAGTTAAAAATGTAACGAATAAATACAAAGAAAAACATCATATGTGAATTGAAAATCAATGTACCTGATAGAGATAAGCTGTGGTGATACCTGAGTAGTATCACCACATACACGTATTTATCAAAAAAATTTTAACTCTGATCATAATATATGCAAACATATATGCAAACTTTTAACAACTATAAAACAACATTTATTAGCATCAATTATTTTAAATGTAACAAAGAATGCAGACTACAATGCACGACATTGTTAATAAAAATGAAGTTATGTCAGTTAGTATATGTTTATCTAAAGTAGTGAAAAAGAATAAACCATTTAAAAACAAAATTAAAAATTTCTAATGAATATATAATTAGATACCTTAAAATGAAGCATAACACAACATTCTTTTGACAAATTCCAGAAGAATTTTTTTTTATTTTTCTATTCTGAATAACTTTTGCTAAGAGAAAATATACATATAGTATAGATATAGAGAAAAATAAAATAGACTAAAATAAATGCAAACTTATGTATATAAGCTTACATGAACACAAATAACAGTCTTATTTTATTTAACTTTTCATATTAAATACATATATAAAACTTTATTTTATATATAATTCTCTTTAATAATCTTTATCTATAAATAACAAAACGAATTGAACTTACTAAAAAAACCATCAGCTTTTCTTAACTGCTCTTAAAAATAAAACAATACTTGCTTAAAATATTCTAAAAAGACTAACGACAAAATGAAACAGTTTACTAAAAAAGAAACATTTTACTAAAAAAACTATTTTACAAAACATTTTAGTTCTAACTTCTTCTAAAAAATAAAAACAGACTATAAAAATTAGAAAAAATAAAAATAAGCAACAACAAACTAACAATTAAATTTTTATTTTAAAAAATAAACAATAATTATTTTTGAAAATAAGTGCATCAGCTCCAATTTGCTTGCTGATTTTACTCGAAAGACCGCATGGAATATATAACTGCGCTTAGAAAAGTCTAGAAACAACTTCAAAACTAAAGAAATAGTGTATTTTACATAATGCATAACCGTAATTAACAAAACGAACAATAGGCGTAACAATGCGTAACTATGCGCACTAATAATAATAATAATAATAATATTCATTCGGCTATTCATTATAGAGATTATTATAATTATTATAATTAAAACTTTACTTCCTAAACATTCATCTTGATTAACTGTACTAGTGCTAGCATTTAATTCAACATTAACGTTAGTTTCGTCAGTTTCAGATAAAGACTTCTCACCAGTTACAATATATTCATCATACTCACGCTCATGTGTATCGATTTCTTCAACTATGTTATCAGAAATGTCTTCATTTTTCATGTCAAAATTATATATATATATATATAATTGTTGTTTTTTTTTGACGAGGTTAAATAAAAATAACTACATAATTTTTACTACTAAAAGTTTCATGCGTTTAGCAATCATCAAAAGAAATATTATTTCGTATTGTATAAAATTTATATTTCATATAATCTTGTAGGCGCCTTTTAATTTTCGGCGCCTTTTAATTTTCAATTATTTATATATAATTGTTTTTAATTTTCAATTAATTTTCATTTTCAATTAATAATTATAATTTCAATTAATAATATATAATATATAAATATATAATTGTAGGCGCCTTATAATTCTCAATTAATCTTGTAGGCGCCTTTTAATTTTAATATAACCCTAACCCTGACGGATGATTGCTAAACGCATGAAACTTTTAGTAGTAAAAATTATGTAGTTATTTTTATTTAACCTCGTCAAAAAAAACAATTATATAGCTCTGATATCATTCATCGAGCACTCTTGCTGAATATATGCTCACAACAAAATTAAACTTATTTATGTATGTATGTATATATATATATATATATATATATATATATATATTATATATATATATATATATATATATATAATTTAACTTTTTTTTTTCAAGCACACACGAAAAGAGTTTCAATCTTTATCTAGTGTAAGAAGACAGGATAATGGTCAGGTTTATTAAATTATATATATTTTGTAAAATTTGTTATTCGCTTACTTTAACAGTTCTTAACTTTTTTCAGAATAAAATACTTAGTTGATATTATTTTTTTTAACTTAATGATCATGTGGTTAGATCCATGTGGAAACATGGTTTTAAATAAATTCTTTATTCCTGGAGTTTGAAATAAACCTCTGATCATGTTCTTAAGCCATAATTTTGATCTCTGATTAGTGTTAAACTAATGTTTTAATGCAAGTTTTCATATACGTAATATGTTTCAAAACAAGTTTTTGTATTATGTAAGCGAAAGTGATGCATTAAGTTTTTTTTTTTTGCGAAAGAAGTCTTATCTTAGACCAATCCTATTTTTGAAAAAAGTTATAAATTGAGGTATATTAGTTTCCAGGCACCTAACATTTGTAAAACAATTTATCTAATTTTATAGAACTTAAGTAATTGATATATTTTCATATATAATTCCATATATAGAAATGTATAAAAAAACTTTTTTAACATCAACAACAACAACAAAATTTTATAAAAAAAAATCTTTTAAACAACAATAACAACTTAAGTTGTAAAAAAATCATAACCAGTAATATTTTTTTTTTTTGTTTTTTTTTTTTTGTTTTATTAAAAACATTTATTATTTTCGAATGTATTGAGACCTAAAAATTAGGTTTTCCTTTTTTTTATAGGAGAAAATTTAAAGGGAAAGTTCTAAAGGAAATTTTCATCATATTTTTTATCTAACTTTTTTATCATCAATTTTTTTATCTAACAAAAAATATAATCTTATTTTTACATTTTATCAATATTGCTTCTAATTTTTTTTTACATAAATTAAAAATTTGTGGAAGTTTGAGAGAATGCCATTAAACTAGTTAAAGGTCTTTGAAATTGAATATCTTCAGAATTTTACAAGTAAACGCAATCGAGTTTTAAGAATTTTTTTTTTTTTTTTTTTTGCAGTTGTTTTTGTAAATAATTTAATTTTGTTTATTATTGAATGTTTTAGTTAATTATTTGATCATTGGTATAAAATCTTCTGAATCTTTTAGGTAATGATTTGATAATTGGTATCAAATCTCCTCCTTCGGATTGGATTTTATATAACTTAACACGAGAGCAACGGTTGTCGATGTATGAAAAAGTTTGCGAGGTTGAAAGGTTTTTTAAAATATGTTTCAATTTTTTGTTTAAATTTTTTCAAATTATACTAATTCAGTTAAATCTTTTATTTGTAGATTTTATTTGTAGTTTATTTATTTGTAGATTTTATTTGTAGTTTATTTATTTGTAGATTTTATTTGTAGTTTATTTATTTGTAGATTTTATTTGTAGTTTATTTATTTGTAGATTTTATTTGTAGTTTATTTATTTGTAGATTTTATTTGTAGTTTATTTATTTGTAGATTTTATTTGTAGTTTATTTATTTGCAGATTTTATTTGTAGTTTATTTATTTGTAGATTTTATTTGTAGTTTATTTATTTGTAGATTTTATTTGTAGTTTATTTATTTGTAGATTTTATTTGTAGTTTATTTATTTGTAGATTTTATTTGTAGTTTATTTATTTGTAGATTTTATTTGTAGATTTTATTTGTAGTTTATTTATTTGTAGATTTTATTTGTAGTTTATTTATTTGTAGATTTTATTTGTAGTTTATTTATTTGTAGATTTTATTTGTAGTTTATTTATTTGTAGATTTTATTTGTAGTTTATTTATTTGTAGATTTTATTTGTAGTTTATTTATTTGTAGATTTTATTTGTAGTTTATTTATTTGTAGATTTTATTTGTAGTTTATTTATTTGTAGATTTTATTTGTAGTTTATTTATTTGTAGATTTTATTTGTAGTTTATTTATTTGTAGATTTTATTTGTAGTTTATTTATTTGTAGATTTTATTTGTAGTTTATTTATTTGTAGATTTTATTTGTAGTTTATTTATTTGTAGATTTTATTTGTAGTTTATTTATTTGTAGATTTTATTTGTAGTTTATTTATTTGTAGATTTTATTTGTAGATTTTATTTGTAGATAGGACGTATGTTCAATCAGAGTAGTGAATCATTTGAAAAGTTGTTAAACGACACGGAGGAACAGATGAGAGGTTTTTTTAGTTTTTTTAACAAAATTTATTTCGCTTTTATGATTTACCTGAAAATTTTGTTGTTAGTTTGATTATTTATTATATTTATAGTTGTAGCAGCGTTTGCTGATCGAGGCGAAAAAACTCATCTAGAAGTCATGGCTGAGTTACGAGATTACAAAAGAAGAAGGCAATCATATCGCGGAAAAAACAATATGACAAAAAAATTATTTTTTACTGAGGCAGGTTTTAAAACCGTATTTTAAAATGTTTATAAATTTAAAAATGTTATTTTTTAGGTTTTGCGTAACTATAATGATTTTTTTTAAAAAAGAAAAAGAAGAGAGGTGGGTTATTTTAGCTATTTTTCAGGTTTTGCTTGACCTAATTAATTATTATTTTTATAGGTTTTGCGTGATCTCATTGAACAACAAATGCTGTATTTAACAATACTTTATGAACAGCAGCAAACTGAATCAGCAGTACATGATTCTCCACCAATTGTTATGCAGCACAATATAGAAGAAAGAATAAATAATACTAAAAGCGAGAATTTAGAAAGTGAAACTAAATCTCGTTATCTTAGTTCTGAAAAAACGCGTGATCGTCGGTTTCAAGAAGATCATAGAGACAATAAATATGGCCATCGGAGATTAAATGAACGTCAGCATAGAGATCGTCGAAGAAGTCGGAGCAGAAATCGGAGTAGAAGCAGAGAACGTAGCAGAGAATATCGATATCGAGAAAAAAGAGATCGAAGAGATATAAAAGAAATTAGCAACGTCACTGTATACGATAATTAAAAACAGCGTCACTGTTTAATAGCCTCAACATTTTTACTTGTTCTAATTGATTATCATTAGTTTGACGTTGTAAGGAAAAAAAATGGCTTGTAATACATAAAAAGTTTTTTCAAGTTTTTGAGTCAATTATAAAAACTTTTTAAAAAATTTTATAAAAAAAAGGGTTTTATTATTTATATCATATATATGTTATATATTATATATATGTTATATATAATATATATATATATATATATGTTATATATTATATATATGTTATATATTATATATATGTTATATATTATATATATGTTATATATTATATATATGTTATATATATATATATGTTATATATATATATATATATATATATATATATATATATATATATATATATATATATATATATATATATATATATATATATATATATATATATATATATATATCATTATAATTAGAAAGTTAAATGTGGTTAGAAATTTTAAGAGTAAAACTATTCGTGACAATTTTTCTGAGCTGAGCATGTTATTGACAATTGACTCCATAAAATTAAAAGAAATGTCATTGAGAAAAGCAGTTTTGACATTTAGCATAAATAAAGATGCTATACAAAGAAGGATTCATATAAAATTAAAAAAGCTAGACTTTATCAATATACATAAATATCACTTGGTTCATTTAAAAAACTATTACCAGATAATACTGAAAATCAATTAGTTATCAACATAAAAGAAATGAGTTCAGTTTATTATGGATTGTCCATTAGTGACATTCAACGAAATGTCATCCAGTAAGTCGAAAAGTACTGTATAGTTCACCCATTTAATAAAAATAATAGTGCTGCAGAAAGAGATTTTTTAAGTGGATTTTTAAAGAGACATCTAGATCTTTCGATAAGAATAGCTCAAGTGTTGTCTTTAAATTTTATTTATGATTTAACCTGCATTCCTGTGAACATTTATTTCAATATTGTAGAAATTGTTATGAAAAAGTACAAGTTTGAACATCATCAAATATTTTACTGTGATTAATCAGGCATTGCGACTATATATAAACCTGTTAAAGTTATAACAAAAAAAGGGAAACATTGCGTTTCCTCTTTAACTAGTGGTGAACTGGTTGTAACAACAACTGTTGCTTTTTACATAAACGTGGGTAAACAATGATAATTTTTTTGTGTTGAAGGCTGGGAGTGTTACTTTTTTATTTGATTATGAAGTAAGGTTGCAATAGGAGACAATTGGAATCAATATTTAAAATGTGCAACTTGGGTTTATTCGGACTGTTGTTCATTTCAAAATACTGTTGACTAGTGGCAGTGTGTTTAACTACATGTAATTACTAGTGGCAGTGTGTTTAATTACTGTTGACTAGTGGCAATTTGATTATAGCTGTATTATATTATAAAAATGTTTATCTTGCTGAAACTCTTAAAGATCTGTTTTGTTTATAATTATTTATTTGGGCAAAATAAGACTGGATAAGTGCTGTCAATAAATGATCTCTGGTGACCAAACCATTGCAGTTTTAAAACTCATATTTTGAAAGGTAATAATAGGATGGTCAAAGATTAGAAAAATATAAATTTCTTCTTTAAAAAGTTGCTAGAAATTATTTTTCAAAAGTTGTTAGGCCTGTATTAGATAAACTAGTGCTTAAGTATCTCATTCTGCTCCTCGTTACCCTACATTACCCACCAATTTTTGAAAAAAATGAATTATAGATAGTGTTGTGTACCTCAGAATAATGCTTTTCTATTTTAATTAAACCTAAGTTATAAATAAAAAAGTGGTGGACTTGCAAACTTATGTTATAAAAGTTGCGGATTTGCGAACTTAAGTTATAAATTCTAACGTCGCGAAATGTTAATAGGGCTTAAAAGTCCAACAATGTAAACTTTTGGGAAACTTAAAAAAGCTGAACTACCCCCTTGGTAAATATTTAGTAATGATTTAAAAATTTTTTATTTGAAGGGGATAATGTTTTTCACCTTGAAAAAAAACATTTTTTTTTTAATTTGTTTTTAAAGAACTTATAAACCAATTAACAATGTGGACTTCTGCTCTTTTAACATTTAACAATTACTGCTTATTTTAATTTTTGGCTATAGAAAATGATGTCATAAACTACAGTAAATCTTCATTTATGAATTGTTTACAAATATTAGCATAAAATATTAGGAACAAAAGGTCTACTACAGCAATTTTATCATTACCTAATCATTTTCCCATCTTTTGCTTCTCCATTGTTGCTTTCTGCTGAAATCATCGTAGCAGTTCATTATAAAAGTCACTACGATTTTATGGGTTATACTTAAACTTCCTTTAGTCATTCAATTTTTTAGTCATTCAATTTTGCAAATTTTATTTGAATCTTTCAGTTTGGGTAAATAAACTGATCTGACAGGTTAATACTTTCCTTTTTTTTTATTTTAAAAGTATATTTTACAATACCAATAAAAATTTCATTGGCTTTACATTGACATATCGTTGGTATATAAGGAAAATGCACTAAATCCAAATACATCATTTTGAGATAATGAACAAATAAGTTTTTGCGTAATAGTTAAAATAATTAAAATAAAAAGTTTTAATAACTCATTAATAATTGATCAAACTATAAAGAATTTAAAATGCAAAAAGAATTTAAAATGCTATAAAGAATTTAAAATAAAAAAAGATATAAATAACTAGTACTTCCAATACCGATACCATTTTTCAATTCCGGTAATTCGGTAATAATTAATTTCAATACCGGTAATACCGGTATAATACCAGTATTAAACTTTATTTTTAAATTTATCATAATCTAAATCAAATCTTAAGTTAATAGTAAAAATTTTATTGATTTAATCAGCTTATTTATTTTATATCAAAACTACTGACTTTTTCATTTTTTGCTTTTTTCTGCTTTGTAAAATGAGCCCGTAAAAAACATAGCGCGTTCAGAATATCATCTTTAAAAGATCATCTAATTTTGTGACAGTTACCACTTGCTAAAAATCCACGTTTCGATTTGAAACTTATTGGCTTCACATTTTTTAAGTAATGTTTGGAATTTTGCAAATATATACAACGATTTCCTCCTTCTTCAAAAACTGCCATCTCAATACATATAATTTTCCTGCCATCTAAATACATATAATTTCCCAAAACATTCAATCTTACCTTGTTGTTACATTTCTTAATTTTCGAAATCGCCAGTCAAGCTTTTTTTTTTCAGTGATTAGTTTACAGCGTTATCCACAGAATCACAATCGGAAAAAACGCTGGTGGAAGGGAGAGGACTATAGTTTTCTGATTGAGCCAATCTTTCAGTCGAGCAATGGTATTTACAATGGTTAATTTGCTATGGTGCTCAAAGGATAGAGCCAAATTCTTGTAACGTTGATGGCCCTTGTGCAGAAAATATTGTATGCTGGAAAAAGAGTACGTTGCTCATTGAATCGTCAGCATAACTTTAGAGCTAAATCGGTTTCTCCAAGGTTATCTATCATGAATTGTTGTATCGGCTCACAACAGTGTTGCATGATTTCGGTACAATCTTTTCAAAGCCAGTTTTACTGGCGCAAGACATAAGTTAACAGCTAATATTGCATCGAACTTCTTATTAAATACCTCAACTATGGACTCAAGGGCAATCAGTAACTCGCGAATGTATTTGTTCAAATATACAAAACGTTCGAGTGCTGTGTGCAAGCTAATCCAGCGAGTTTTGGAGCCAAGTATTAGTGGAAGATCTTTATCAAATTTTTCTAACGTGTGTTTTTGAATTTTGATCATTTTTTGTCGGAGAACTGCGAAATAAAAATTTCACAACGGTGCGCACCTTTTTGATTAACGGCTGCAAATCATCAGTCAGTTCAATAGAGTCATTCTCTTCACTCATTACAACTTGAAACCCACCGGAAAAGTCTTCATCATTATTGGTTTTGTTTGTGTCTTCAGTATTTCCTCGTCACTTACTCTGTTATTGATGTAATTGCAGATTACTTAAAAGTTTTTTTTTGCAGAAGTTGACGATTTTTTTGTACAAAATGTCTTGAATACCTAGTTGAATCCCATGCCTAATTAACTTAAACATACTGTTAAAAATTATATATACATTTTAATTAATAAAATAAGATAATGGATAAATTATTATCAATGCAAAGTATTTATAAAATGGTAGCTGATATGCTCGAAAATCAAAGTAAATTTATTTTGGAGAAAACAGAATAACTTCTAAAAGACCAAGAAAAAAAATTTGCAATTATTACTTTTGCAAACATGAAAATTTTAACGGAGAGAATAGATAAACTTAAAAAAGATACAGATAAAAGCATAACAAAAACTAACGATATTTCCAATGATTTGAACGCAACACGTCTAAAGGTAGTAGTATTCTTGGAGAGCAAATTCAATGAGATTAAAAAATTTATTTCTGCGCAGGATAAAATAATTTCGTCAAAATTTGAAAGAGTGAAACGGAAAACGGAAAAAATTAACATTGAAGTTAAAGATAAAAGTGTAGTATTAAAAATCTGGAACAAAGGGTGATGGAAGATCGTTCGCGTAGGAACAACTTGAGAATTGAAGGAATAAAAGAAAGTGAAAATGAGTCATGGATTGAATCCGAATGTAAGGTGTATAAATTTTTAGAAGAATGTCTTGACATTAAAAATATAAAAATCGAAAGACCACATCGATCGGGACTGAGAGATGGCAAGAAACACAGAACGATAGTTCTAAAATTATTAAATTATAAAGACAAAACTGAAATACTTTAAAAATCGTGTAAAAACAACTTAATAAATAAAGAATTCAGTACTGAGACTACGGAAATAAGGAAGGGTTTGAGAGAACGCATGAAAAAAGAAAGGGAATCCGGCAAATTCGCGGTCATATCCTAAGACAAACTAGTTATTCGCGACTGGACAGCGAAGAAACGAGATGCTGTTTTCACTGAATCTATATAAGTATTCATATATTTTTTATTTTAACTAGTTTTTCCCTAATCTTAATATTTATATTTTAAAATGGATGATAATTTATTAATTAAACTTTGTGATGAAAATGTCACAATTTGTAATAATGACGTCACTAATTATTTTAACCAAAAATCATTAGAAAGAAAAAACTATTCAATTTCT